TCGCGGGGCTCCTGGACCAGCACGGTGTGCGTCTGGTGGGCGTGGGGCCCGAGGCCCTGGGTCTGCAGGAGTTCCTGGACGGCGGCTACTTCGCGGGAGGTGCGTCCTGTTCCCCGACGCGGGGGCACAGACACCCTTCCCTAAACTCAGGGCGTTCAGGGCCCTTTCTTGCCCAGCCCTGGCTCTTCTGTCTCCTGGAGTGGCCTTGATATGTCCACAGGTCAGCGTCCCTCATCTCTCCCTGCCTCCCCGCCCCGCAGCTGGTGGCTGGGTGATGCCCTGCACAGACCTGAGCCTAGCAGCAGAGTCTGGGCGAGCTCTGCCTCGCCGGTTCCACCTGTCACCTCTGGGACTCAGCCCCTCTTCTGAGGGGAGGGGGTCACTCAGCCCTGTTTTACCTCTCCCGGCCCTAGGTGGGTGGGCTGAGCACGGAGGTGGGCAGAAGAACAGAGGGTCGGAAGGAGGAGGGTGATTCTTGGTGGTGAGTGGGTTGGGGGCTGGTTCCAGGCCTGGGGCACACATCTGTGGCTTCCGCTTTCCAGAGCTCTACCTGGATGAGAGCAAGCAGCTTTATAAGGAGCTGGGCTTCAAGCGGTGAGTGGGGACGGGCACCCTCAGGTCACATGGGGCGGAGGGCCCAGGGGTGCCCACCACTCCCTGCCACCTCCTTTCTCTGCTGACAAGGCAGCTCTGGTGGCACTGTCGACCAGCCCTTCTGCCAGGCCTTCTCTTGGGTGCTGGGCGACTGTAACGAGCCACCTTGTCTAGGGCTTACTCTCGGTGTCCAGACCACCTCGGAGGTTGGAGCCTCGTGCCCCATCAGGGGCCATCCTAGCTTTCTGGTGTTTGTGCCACAGACTGCCTCCTTCGCTTGGCAGTTGCCAGCTGAGCCAGATCCCTGAGCACACCCAGCCTGCTCCATCCATGCTCCCTGCACCCTCTGTGGGCCCTTGGCCAGCAGCCACTGGGCTCGGTGTCCAACCTGCCGGTGGGCTAGGCTGGCTGCTGATCTAGCTGCCTGGGCCATCTCTGAGCCCTGGTGAGGTGAGTGGTGGGGTGGGGTGGGGCCTGACCTAGGAACTGGTCTGTGGACACTGGAGCAGGCTCTGGACCCAGGCTTCTCTGGAGTCTGGCCAAGCGACCTGGTGTCTTCGCAGGTACAACAGCCTGAGCATCCTCCCGGCGGCTCTGGGGAAGCCTGTGCGTGATGTGGCTGCCAAGGTTTGTGTGGGTCAAGGCTGTACAGGCCGGGGAGTGGTGGGAGCTCCCAGGGGCCTTTCCTCTAGGATTGACCCAGGCTTTGCCCACTCCTGATAGGCCAAGGCTGTTGGCATCCAGGGGAACCTGTCTGGGGACCTGCTGCAGAGCGGAGGGCTGCTGGTGGTCAGCAAAGGTGGGTTGAGGGAGGGGCCCCGGCCACTGCCTCAGGGAGGACCTTGCTGAACTTGGTGGCCTAGCCCAGGCCCTCTCTCTGGCTTGTCAATCTCATCACAGCCCCTCCACCGCAATGTGGCCTGGTTCTGCATGTCTGCTGGGCTGAGCTGGTCTGTGGCAGAACAGCTCACTCATCTGGGTAGCTGAGTGGGGGATATGGCCGGCCAGGTCTGCCCCGCCTTCTCTCCTCCTGGTACGTGGCTTTGAGGTGCAGGCAGCCTTCGGGGCGCCCTGACTGCCTGCCCGCTGCTACAGGTGGTGACAAAGTGCTGCTGCATTTCGTTCAGAAGTCCCCAGGCGATTATGTCCCCCAGGAGCACATCCTGCAGGTCCTGGGCATCTCTGCGGAGGTCTGTGCCAGCAACCCGCCTCAGGTGAGCTAGGCCTTGGGGGCACTGCCTGCCAACCCACGCCCTGCCCCCAGGTCCCCTGGGAGGAGCACTGGACCTCGCTGGGAGCTGAGTCACAGCACCTTGGGTGTCATGCCAATTGTGTCCTGGGATGTGGATGCCCCTGTGACCCCACTTGCAGAGGAGGGCAGGCTGAGAGGGGCCGAAGGGCAGCATGGCTGGATGGACAGGTACCGCGAGGCTGTCCTCAGAGGTGGGGGCGACACATGGTGGGCAGAGAGAGAGGCCTGTCCTCTCAGCCTCGGGAGGGCTGAGGATTGTTTGAGGGGACCCTCTCAGGCATTTGCCTGGTCCAGTGTCCAGCGGCCCCATGGGCCCCTGCTGTCCCCACAGTGTGACAGGGAGGTGTGAGGGAGGCGAAGGCCCTGGCCTCTGAGGATGTGGACAGCGGCTGCTGCCCTGGGTGAGATGGAAGTCCACGTGGAAGAACCATTGTGCAGTTGCTGGGCCGGGATGCCGAACCTCTCCTGATCCGCCGGCAGCAACGAGCGGTTAAAACTGCAGTTCCTGGCCGGGCGCGGTGGCTCAAGCCTGTAATCCCAGCACTTTGGGAGGCCGAGATGGGCGGATCTTGAGGTCAGGAGATTGAGACCATCCTGGCTAACATGGTGAAACCTCGTCTCTACTAAAAAAAATACAAAAAACTAGCTGGGCGAGGTGGCGGGCGCCTGTAGTCCCAGCTACTGGGGAGGCTGAGGCAGGAGAATGGCGTGAACCCGGGAGGTGGAGCTTGCAGTGAACTGAGATCCGGCCACTGCACTCCAACCTGGGCGACAGAGCGAGACTCCGTCTCAAAAAAACAAAACAAAACAAAACAAAACAAGAAAACACTGCAGTTCCTGGCCACGCACTGCTTCACAAGCGCCGAGCCCTGCATCCTCCATAGCTCCCGCCTCGCTCACTGTTGAGGCCCTCGGGGCGGGCAGGGTAGCTGTGAGTCCCAGGTGTCATCTTCCTGCTTTGCAAGTGTCTCTGGAGACCTTGGGCCTTTGGCCTGTGGGGCACTGGGGATGGTAACCTCACTGCCCTGTCAGTCCCTTCAAAGGCGACAGACCCGAACCCACGTCAGGAGAGGAGTGTGGGGTCAGCTGCAGCGGGGTCCGGGTCAGTGCCGTGTCTGGTGGGAGCCACACAGGAGAGTTGGGTTTTCAGGGCAGAGTTGGGCTTGATTCCACCTGGTGGGGTGGGTAGACCCTGGAGACTCTCAGGTGATGGGCCAGCCTGCCCCAAGGCCCTTTACTGATGTCAGAATCATTGTTTGTACCTGCTGGGGATGGCCTGTGGGGCGGCCGGCCTGGGAGGGTCTTAGTCCAGTTAGGTATGTCCAGCTTCCTGGCCACCTTCCCTTGGGGATCCTAACAGGCCCAGAGCAGAACCCCTTACCTCCCAGGTCAGACTGCCTGCTCAGGCCCTCCCTTCCCGTGCAGGCCGGTGACAACAGCAGCCCTCCCTGCACTCCCTGGTCCAAACCTGGGGCCGCTGTGGGCTCCTGCGGGTCTCCTGGCTCCCCTCCCGCCCCAACCCCACCCTCTCAGTGGCCATTTACAAATGCATAGCAGGTGACCCACCGCGTCCCTTTGGTTCAGCCCCTCCTCTGGTTTTCAGTTACACAAAGCTAAATGTCAGGTTCCCAGCTGCAGCTCTCTGGGTCCCCCGACGCCCCAGCGGGGCTCCCCGCATCTGAATGTGTGGTCCCTGGGGTGGGCACTTGGGGGCATCCTGGTCACTGCTGGCCCTGGCATTGGACCCTAGGAGACTTGACTGGAACTGGCTCCCTCCCCATCAGCTCCCAGCTGTCATTCTCCCCCCATCCCCGGGCAGCTGTTGTGCCCAAGGCCACTGCCACCTGTCTGCCCACCCTGGTCCCTCCCAGACAAGCAAGGCCTCTGATTTCTTTGAAGCATTTACTTAGCTCAAGTCTGAAGCTGTAGATATTGGAAGACAATGCACCTTGGAGGGTGGGCAGGACACAGTTGATCGTCTCTATAGGGCTGTGACGGGGGCGCTGAGCCCCGCGGGTGTCCGTAGAGGGGACTCTGGGCCAGGTACTGCACTGGACACTGCTCATCCCTGGGTGTCGGGCAGGTGGCTGCACCCTAGGCCAGGTGCGGAGGCCTGGCAGGCAGGCTTGGCATGGTCGGCTGGGCCGGGGCACATGCTGGGTCGCCGCTGGCTGCACCTTCTCCGCACAGATGCCTCGGAGCAGCTGGTGGGCGTGGGCCGCGCAGCGTGGCGGGGCCTTGGCTACCACACACGGCATCGCTCCTTGGGGTGCATGGGGGTGCCCTGGGCACAGTGGAACGTGTCTGCAAAGGCGGCCAGGTTCTGCAGTGACCCCAGTACCCTGTGGGTGGGTGGGTGTGACAGCAGGAGCATTGCCATCTTGGACAAACACGGTCATTTTAAGTTCCCCGTGATTAAAAACCAGCCCAAAACATCAGCCTAATGGCTCATGTCAGTATGACCAGAAACATTTCAACTGTGAGATAAACCCCCATCTAACCAGAAACATGCCAATCCCGAGAATAACCTCCCTTCCAACCAGAGATATTCCAATTCTGCAATAAAACTTTCCTTCACACAGAAACATTCCCAGCCTGTGGTAGGCTCCCCCTTCCTTAACCCTTAAATACCCTTAGTCGGTAAGAGAATGTTCTTGACTGAAATTGGCCAGAAGCCCCTCTCAGGTTGATTCTCAAAATAAACCTGTCTTTGCTGAGCCGCTTTTTGTGCTTTCTTCTTTAACTCTTACAGGCCACTGGGGTGGGGGTGAGGGTGAGGGGGTTGTGGGTGGCAAAGGGGTTGTGGGTATGGGAGCACTTGCCTGTACTTCAGGGGACTGTGGACGTCTGTCTTGATAGATTGGATGGCGAACTCGGGCCGGTAGGACCCACACCACACCTGTGGGCGTGTGGGGGGGTGTGGCTACAGGCGATGGAGATGGGGTGGCCAGGAGGGGTGGAGGAGGATCTCCACTATCCCCAGGCTGCCCCTTCTAGGGTGGGGTGAGGGGAGCCAGCAGGTGCCCCCCTCCTCCCATCAGCATTGGGATCCTCTCCAGCTCCCACCCCCTGCCCCTCTTGCTTTTCCCCCAAGGGGCTTTGCACGCTGGGTTCTGGTCCCTGGAGGCAACCCAGGGCGGGCCCTCCAGAGATGAGTGGGGAAGCATGGGGATGGTGGGAACAGGACTGTGGCTGCCACCTGGGCATAGCTGATGAAGAAGAGTTGCTCATGGGTGAGATCCAGGCCGGGCAGCTGCTGGTCCTTGCCACCTTCTGCCATCCACTTGAGGTAGGCCTGCAGGCACCGGATGGGAGCTGGGCTCAGGCCTGCCAGCCTGGACTCCAGAACCCTCAGATCTCAGGGCAGAGCAGAGATCTGGCTCCAGGACCTACCCCTGGAGGTGCGAGGCAAGGGCCCCTCGCACACTCCATGGATGAGTGCTCACCACTTCGGTCACTCAGAGACCCCTGAACTGGGCTCTAGGGGGGATCCCTGGCCAGGCAGCCCACTGTATGGTGCTCATCCTGAATGAGCCCCTGATGCCCCCTCCCCTGCCATGCTAACACCCCCTCCCCTGCCATGCTAACACCCCCTCCCCTGCCAGACCCCACCTTGCCCTGCCAGGCCCCACCTTGTAGGCTTGTCGCACCCCTCCGTTGTCGGCAATGTTTTCCCCAAGGGTGTTGAATCCGTTCACCTGCGCACAGGAGACAGGACTGGGGCAGCCCCTGCCCGGACTCCCCTCTCCCTCAGGGCCGGGGCTGGGGATCCGGTCCCCCTGCAGCCTCGGTGCTGGTGGCAGTGCTCACGTTCTGTTCGTCCGCCAGGTCCCAGGAGTAGTTGCTGTACTGGTAGATCATGCACTGTGACTGCTCCCGGAAGTGCTGGGTGGAGAAGTTACTCCACCAATCCATCATGTTGCCGTTCTTGTCGAAGTTCCGGCCTGGGCAGGGGCAGAGGAGGGCTGCCCACATGCTCCTGGCTGCACTGTGCTCAGCCCCACGGCAACCACTGTGCCTGGCCCCTCCTGCAGCCAGCCCCAGTACGGAGAGCCCATGGTCTGAGCAGGCACAGGCTCCAAAGAGCAGCAGCTGCCTGGGGCTACACAGCCCCCAGAGAGGGAGGGCTTCAGTGGTCTCCCATGCCACCCCCTGAGGCTAGGGCCTAGTGCCTGGGTCCTGTGGTCTCAGAGGCATCATGGTTTAAGGGCTCCTCTTGTGATGCCCAAACTGTAAATCCCAGGTGAGGGGAGCACGTGGTCCCCGGGGACACAGGGCTGCCCATGGAATGTTCCGATGGCCGAGCCACAGGGGAAAACCAGCCGGGGCCCCTGTCCCAGGCAGGGCAGTCCCTACCAAGGGGCAGAGGTCAGCATGGCCATGGCGGGGGTGGCACACTCCCCTGGTGGAGGATGCCGGCCGCCTGGAGAGGCTCCCCAGGCTGGGATCTGGGCTTCACTGCTGTGCTGGGCGGTGTTGTCATCCCCATGTCACAGGCCGTGGGAGGGGAGTGCCCAGTGCCAGGTGGAGTCAGGGTCATGGGCTGGAGTCCCTGGGTCCCCTCCGCCATGCTGGGAGTCAGTGCCCCCAGACAGGGCCCCAGCCTGGCATTCAAGGCCTGCTTGGCCCCCACAGCTCCCTGAGGACCTGGCCTCGGTGTCCCCACTGAAACCACGAAGGGGTTGAATGGAGCTCCCCCAGGCCCCTTCCCGGCTGCTTCTCTGCGGAGAGGGGAGGGCGTGTGTGGTTGGAGGGGCGGCCCCTCACCATTGTCGTCAAAGCCATGCGTGATCTCGTGCCCGATCACCATCCCAATGCCTCCGAAGTTCAAGGCTTGGGGCTGCTCCTTGCTGAAGAAGGGGGGCTGGAGGATCCCAGCAGGGAACACTGTCCCCAAGGGTGGGACAAAGAATAAACTGTGAGCAGATGCATCTCCTGTGTGCCAGGCTTAGGGATGGCACCGCCAGGAGTTCTCATACTTGATCCCACAGACAGGCAGGCAGAGGTCAGGACCCCCTCAATTTACAGATGAGGACAGGGAGGTTCAGAGGCTGGGCGGGCTCATGCCTGGCAGACCCAGGACCTCAATCCGGCCTCCTCCCACCATCCTGTTCTGTCCGCAGGAAAGGCTCCATGCCGCCTGCCAAGTCCTTCCCTGAGCCCCTGATGGGCAGGGGAGCGGATGTTCCCCATGGGGGCAGCAAGGGGTGATGTAGGAAAGCGTTCTGAGAACAGGCTGGGGTGCCCCCAGGAGAAAGGGATGGGCAGGGGGCTGCAAGCTGCCCCTTCAACTCTGGCACCAAAAGGCTTGGGCGGGCGGGGAGGGGGAGGAACTTACCAATCTGGTTTCTGTTTGGGGAGTAGAACGCATTGACCACCGCCGCCCCGATGATCCAGCTGTGATAGACAAGCCGGTCTCTGGGAGCCATCTCTCCGGGGACCCTCCCTCTGGGCTCTCTCTGCCTCGGTGGACCACAGCCCAACCCGGCCACACCAGAGGAGGGGCCGAGGCCTATCCCAAGATCTGGTTCCTTCCTGGGGTCCCTGAGGAGGAGGCGACTTGGGCCCCAGAAAGCAGAGGGTGAAGATGGGCCCAGTGACTGCCCCCTTGAGCTGGCACTGGACCTCAGCCATGCATCATCTCCCCGCCTGGCAGGTAGCCCTGTATGCCTTACTGGCCACTCCAGGGCCCCCCATGCTGTGCCAGCGATGCCACTCACAGATTTGGGTCCACCTTTTCCCGAAGCTTCCTGAGGCTCCGCTGGGCGCCCACCTTGAGGTTCTGCAGACTGTTCTCAAAGTACAGGTCCTCTGAGAAGTTCAGCTATGGGAGAGGTGCAGTCACTGCCAGATGCTCGGGCTGGGCCCTCAGAGGGGCAAGGGGAGAGGTCTCGGGTGGTTGGGGAAGGACTTCAAGCCTCGCCAGGCGTCTGCACGTGGACAATCGGCTGTGGGTGCAGGTGGGTGGGGCAGCCCTGGCTGTGAGCATTTATGTGACTCTGAGCAAGTCCCTCATCCCTCCATGCTTCAGTTTCCCCATCTGTACACTGAGGGTAGTGCTGGAGCCACCACCCTAGGGCTTGGTGAGGATAGCTATGTTAGTATCCAGGAGGAGGGCGCAGGGCTTGGCACAGAGGACCCCCCCAGGAAATCAGGGCCCATGTCCACGGTGTAGGGGGCGGTTTAAGGCTGGGGTGAGGGGCGTACATTGGAGTACTCCTCGTCCAGGCGCCTGTCCGTCTCCTCCAGGATGTAGTCAGGGTGGCCGATCTGCTCCCGGATGCTCATGGCCTGAGTGGGGAGGAGGGACTGGTCAGTGGGTGCCCCACTGCGTATGGGGTCAGCCCTGGGGCCGGTCAGTGAGTGCCCCACTGTGGGAGGGGTCGGCCCAGGGCATCCTGGCTGTGCTATCCCTGTCCTGTGGGTGAGGGACTGGGGGGCTCCGGGACTTGGCTCTCACCTTGCAGTCTCTGGGGAGGTTTAATGGGGACAGAGCATTGAAGGCTCCGCCTACCTGACCTAGAACCCAAAAGCCCATCAGGGGTCTGACTCTGCCCACCTGACCTACAGCCCAACAGCCCGCCAGGGGCCTGGGTGGGGGCAGGGGCCCTGGAGGGGTCACTTGGCTGCCGTCTGTCACTTGGGTCCAGAGGGGCTTCTGGTGGGTCTGACCCTCACTCCCGAGGCCACTGCTACCCCCGCTGGCTCCTGGAGGGCACTGTGGATGTCCCAGGCCTAGCTTCCCACCCCTGCCTGCTTTTCCTCAGCTCCACAGTGGATGAGTGGTCCTGTCTGTGCCTCCCGGGGCTGCCTTCTCCCCATGGGGGCTGTCAGGCGGCTTTGTCGGGGCAGTGCTGCCCGTGCCCAGATCCAGTCGGGGCTGCCCCGGCCTCTGCGAGCCATGTACCTTCTCCTGCGCCTTCTTCTTGGACTCCTCGTCCATCCAGCCCAGCTCGTCCAGCGTCTCCACAAACACTGCCCGCACCTTGTGAATGAGTTCTCTGACCTGGGAAGCAGGCATGGCCTTTGTGTCCCAGACTTATCTGGAGGGCAGATGACCAACCTTCAAGGGCTTTGGGGAGGTCTGGTCTGAGCCTTGCCGGGGCAAGGCCCTGGGCTGCCCAGCTGTGGGCCTCTCGGGTGAGGTGTGGGGCTGCTGGGGGGACGAGATGACCACCCAACTTCAGGGTCCTCCCTGCTGGGCTGTGGGTCCTCATGGGCCTGGGGCAACTTGTACCACCTGTGCCTTTCCCAGCTGAACCTGCAGGGCCCAGGAGTGGGGCTCAATGGTCGGCTGGGGTCAGGGGCATGGGGGCCGGCACAGCTTCCCTTGGCCTCCCTCTGTCTGGTGCGCTGGGGCAGGTGTGGCTCTCCCAGGGGCCTCTAGGCCTGGGCAGGGTGGGAGTCCCAGGGTAGGGAGGCTCAGCGTCCCTGCAGAAGGCTGGCCCCAGGTGGGCCACGGATGAGGGGTGCCCACCATGCTCTTGCTGTCTCCAGGGAACGCCTCCCTGACGTAGAGGGAGCCCACGGCGTTCTCCATATTGCTGTTGACGTAGCCCACACACTCACGCCAGCGTACCTCCTCCACCATCGTGCCGAACAGTGCCTGGCGGGGCCACCCGTTCATCCCACCGGCCCCCACGTCAGCCTCACCAAGCCTGGCATGGGGCCCTGGGCTTACGGGGTGAGCAGACCCACCTATCCTCAGACTCAGGGTGCCCCGGGGCCAGCAAGGGGCATGGGATGGTCTCAGCCTTGCCTCTGGGTGCTGCAGTGGCAGAGGGAGGATGGGCATGCCCTTGTGATTGGGGGACCTCCCCCGACTGAGAGCTGGGCCTTTACCCTGGGGAGCTGGGGGGTTCCCCCCCAGTCCCTGTCCTGGCTGTCTGGCTGGACTCTGCTCTCCAGGACTCCAGCCCCAGTCCCAAGGCACTGGGATGGCGCTGAACCCAGAGCAAGGCCTGGGACCACGTGCCTCTCAGCCACCAGCTCCCAGGGCCCTGGTCTCCCCATCGTTGAAGCAGCTGTGAGAACACCTGCTCATCTGTCCCCAGGAACACAGGGGCACGAGACTATGGACCCCAGACTCAGGCAAGCCCAGGGAGCGCTCTGCCCAGCGTCCTGCCACACCTTCTGGGCTGCAGGACCTCCTGCCCCCTAGGAAAGGGAGGCAGCCCTTTCTGCCTCCCCAGAAGCTCCTAGACTCAGTGCCCCACTGACGCTTGGCTCACAGATGTCTCTGAGCCCCCATGGCACCAGGAGGCTTGACTTGCCCCCAGTTTGCCTCTGCCTCAGTCTCCCCATTGCAGTGGGGGCCTCTGTCCCTCTCATTACTCCAGCAAAGGTCTTGAGAGTCCCGACTCCCCTCTGCCCTTAGCCCCTGTACCCAATCCCTCAGCTGCTGTGGCCAATACCTCCCCCGCGTCTGTCTGTCTGCCACCACCCTGGCCAAACCCGTCACCTCACCTGGGTGACCACATTGGCCTCCATGCTGACACTGCCCCCTACTCAGCTCACTGTCTCCAGAACAGTCAGAATCCCCCTAGGGCCTCCCTGCGGTTCCCTGTCTCCACCCTCACCCCAGCCGGGAGCAGCCACAGTGACTACAGAGCAGGAAATCTGACCGAGCCTCTGCTCTTAGCACCCTGGCGGTTTTCAGACAGGGAGTACAACCCAAACTGGCTGCTGTGGCCCACAGCCGCAGTCACCTCACCTCCCTCCCTGCCCTCTTCTCCTTCCTGTCCCCTGCTGACCCCGGGTCTGGCCCCCTGGTCCCTGCCTGCTCCTGCCTCTGGCCTCTGCACTGGCACTGACTGTTTCTTCTCTCGGGAAATCACCCTGCCTTCTCTTCAGGCCTTTAAGGTCTCAAATGTCACCTCCCCGGAGCAACGCTCCCTGCCCTCGTCCCTCCCTGCCTCCGCACCACATCATGCTCTGTGGTTTTGGCAGAGCTGCGTTCTGCCTTGTTGACCGCTCATGGTTGACCAGCGTAGGCGCCTCGCCCTGCCTCGTCCATGGCTGTGACCCTGGTGTGGACCTCGGTACCTGCCCACAGCTTATGCTCAGCATCGTGGCCTGAATGAATGAGTGCTGGGCCAGGCTCCGGGTGGGGCAGGGGCTCACCTTGCGGTAGTTCACTCGTGTGTCCTTGAATCTCTGGCTTAGGCTGCCAATGCGGTCCAGCACCAGACGCCAGACCAGGTAGTTCTGTATGGTCCTGGGGGCAGAAGGTAGAGGGTGAGGGGGAGAACAGGTGAGAGGTCTTTGCAAGGGAGGAGATATGGCCTAGGGCCCTTGGCCAGCACGTTCCACCCCAAACAGAGAGTTACGGGTGCTGGAGAAAACCTCCTCCAAGATCCAGCCCATCTGCCCCAGGTGCTTGGGATGTGACACATCTTTAATGTAAAGCTCCACTGGTCACTAAAGCTTAACCCGTCATGTCCCACACCCCTCAGGGCAGATGCTTCATAGGGTCCCCTCCTGGGAGCAGAAGCTGTGTTGGGGAGGATGGGAGAGCAGGGGCAAAGATGCTGAGGCTTTTGGAGACCCTCCCTGGGCCTCACCTGGCTGAGTAGGTGTCGATGATGTTTTCAAGGTTCTGCAGGTAGGGGATGCCGTAGACCACCACTTCCTCATCTGGTAGCAGCTTGATTTTGACAGAGGATAGCACAGTTTGTATGAACAGAGTCCAGTTAAATCCCTGTGGATAGAGGAAGTGGGGAGAAAAGAGGGAGAGAGAGAGGGAGAAACAGTTCCTGCGAACCTAAGAAACCCAGCCCCCATTGAAGAATGTTCAAGGAATGAGAGAGAACGTGCAGGTAATCAGAATCAGGAAAGGGTGCGTGACATTATCACAGAGCCTACAGCTGTAAAAACCCAAGTGATCATGCAGATATATGTGAAAGCCTAAGTATAATAGGCAAGTTCCTAGAAAAACACAACTTAGCAAAAACGACAAAAAAAGAAATAGAAAATATGAATAGTCTTCTAGGTTAAATAAATGGAATCCTTTCATTTAAAAAATTTTCAAAAAGAAATTTCCAGACCCATCTGGCTTCACCAGTGGATTCTATCTGACATATAAGGAAAACTGCCAATCGTACTAAAACTTTCCAGAGATGAGAAAATGCTTTTCAACTTGATTTATGAGGCCAAGAATAACCTTAATACCGAAATAGGATATTATAAGCAGAGCAAATAATAAACCAGTCTCATTTATGTCATAGATACAAAAGTTCTAAGCAAAATATTAGCAAATAGAACCTAGCCATACTCATACAAAATGCCATAATACCTCACAGCTGAATTAGATTTATTCAAGGAATACGAGTTCGGCATAACATTTGAAAATCAAATAATTTTAATCCACTACGATAACTGAATAAAGGAGGAAAGTCACATGATCATTTCAACAGGTGCAGAAAAGGCATTTGATAAAATCTGCTATCTATTCATAATAAAAACGCTTGGCAAATAAAAATAGAAGGGGCCAGCCACAGTGGCTCACGCCTGTAATCCCAACACTTTGGAAGACTGAGGTGGGTGGATCACCTGAGGCCAGGAGTTCAAGATCTGTCTGACCAACATGGCGAAACCCTGTGTCTACTAAAAATACAGAAATTAGCTGGGCATGGTGGCACACGCCTGTAGTCCTAGCTACTTGGGAGACTGAGGCAGAAGAATTGCTTGAACCTGGGAGGCAGAGGTTACAGTGAGCTGAGATTGCTTCACTGCACTCCAGCCTGCGTGACAGAGCAAGACTCTGTCTCAAATAAAAAAAATAAAAAAAAAGAAAGAAAGAAAAAAAGAAAAATAGAAGGAAAGTTCTACAATCCGATAAAAGAAATGTATGAAGCAGCAGCAACAAAACTCCACAGCAAACATAACTTTTTTTAAAATTTATTTTTGAGACAGAGTCTCGCTTTGTTGCCCAGGCTGCAGTGCAGCAGCGTGATCTCAGGTCACTGTAAACTCCGACCCCTGGGTTCAAGCAATTCTCCTGCCTCAGCCTTCCTAGTAGCTGAGATTATAGGCATGTGCTACCACACCTAGCTAGTTTTTTTATTTTTAGTAGAAACAGGGTTTCACCATGTTGGCTGGGCTGGTCTTGAGCTCCTGACCTCAGGTGATCCACCTGCCTCGGCCTCCCAAAGTGCTGGGATTACAGGTGTGAGCCACTGTGCCCAGCCAAACATAAAATTTAATGGTAAGAATGTATGTGCTTTTCTTCTAATGTCTACTATCATGACATCAGCATTACGCTAAAAATCCTGGCCAGTTCAGTAAGAGCAAACATGAAATAAAGCCAGTAAGAACTGAAAGAGAATAAATAAAACTGGACCAGGTGTGGTGGCACATGCCTGTAATCCCAGCACTTTGGGAGGCCAGGGTGGGAGGACTGCTTGAGTGTAGGAGTTCAAGACCAGCCTGGCCAACATAGTGAAACCCTGTTTCTGAAAAACAAAAAAGAAAACAAAAAATCAGCCAAGGCATGGTGGTGGTGAATTCCTGTGGTCCCAGCTACTCAGGAGGCTTGAGCCCAGGAGGTCACGGCTGCAGTGAGCCATGATTGTGCCACTCCACTCCAGTCTGTGTGACAGAGTGAGACCCTGTCTCAAACAAAAACAAAAACAAAAAACCCAAGCCCCCTGTTGTTTTTCACAAATGATACGATTTTGTTTATTCTACAAATAAATAACCAGAATTAATAAGTGCATTAAGACTGCATATTTACAAAGTCAGTATTTCCATATGTCAGCAACAAATAAGATAACTTCAAAATGATTCTATTTATAGTAGAAAACCAAACACCTGGAATATATCTAATAAAATATGTATAAGAACTTGACATTGAAAGTTTTAAAAGTTATTAAGAAAAACTGAAGCATAAACGGAAGCATATACCATGTTCATGGATTGGAAGACTCAGCATTGCAAAGTCTTCCCCAAATTGATACAGAGATTCAAAGGGATCCCTATCAAATTTCTAGCAGGGTTTTCTCTTTGTGTGTGTGTGTGTGTGTGTATGCAAATGACAGGCTGATTTTAAGTTTTATATGAATATGCAAAGGACTGAGAATTATCAAGACACTCTTGAAGAACAAAGTTGACATACGTACTCTACTGACTACCAAGACATTATAAAGCTGAAGGAGTGAGGGGGTAGGGGTTATCACTTGGGTAGATAAAGAGACCAGTGGGGCAGAAGAGAGTCCAGAAATACACATATGGGCCCACACAAAGACACACAGGGACACCTGATTTATAACACAGAAAGCACCAAGACCAGGGACTCACAGGGGGCTCTTTTTAATAAATGGTGCTGATTGACTGGAAATCCATAAGAAAGAAACAATTCCTACATCTCACTGCTCGTTAAAAAAGTCAACTCAAAGTAGATTGTAGACCTAAGCAACCTTGAGGGTAGGCAAAGAGTTCTTTAGCAGAACACAAAGAATACTAACCATGAAGAAGAGATCTGCACACGTTTGCTAAGTCAATAAATTGGACCATTTAATAGCCTCCTTCAAAACAAAGAAACTCTTATGAGAGTAAAAAAGCAAAGCTGCCCAGTGGGGAGAACATTTGTACACATAAGCTGACCAAGGAGTCACATCTAAAATAGGTAACTCCAAGAAGCAATAAGAGAAAGATCGCCCGATAGAACAAACGGGCAAGACTTGAACAGATGTTCCACAAAAGGGAACGGCATTGGCCAGTTGTCAGGAGATGGCGTTTAACCTTATCTGCCCTTGGGGAAAGTCACGTTGAACCCAGATGAAACCCCACTACACAGGTGCACAAACGGCTAAGGTGAGGACGGACACCACCCAGCATGGGCGAGCATGTGGCACCAGCCGCTGTTGGGGAGCGCACATCCCTGGATGACTCTGGGGAAAGACGGTGCCTGTTACTGTTGAACAGATGCGTGTGCTTCGACCCAGCAATTCCAGTCCCACCCACTTGCCTGCCACAGGCACACACAGGCATGGGCACGACAGCGTCACTCAGAAAAGGCCCAGAGACAGCACAGTGGGACCCGAGTTGTCGCATGTTCTTAGAGTCAGAGGCCACTCAGCAATCGAGAGGCCACGTCAGGGACCGGCCTCCCTCCAGGGAGAAGTCAGGATCATCTTCTCCAGGGAAGGAGGCGTGCACAGGGGCTAGGCAGGGGCATGTGGGGGCTTCTGAGATGTCGGTGGTCATGTAAGTCTTGATCTGAGGATCTGAGAGGTGGTTGTGTGGACGTGTTCACTTTGGGGCAATTCTGAACATCATAAACGCATTGTAAACTAAATGTCCCCAAACCCTGGGCTCCTGGACGCTCCCCTGAACCTGCCATTGTGATGGCTCCACAGCAACCTCAGGCCATCTGAGTTCTCTCCATATTTAGTCCGTTTGCAAACCCTGTTGGCTCCACCTCCGAAATCAATCCACCACGGGCAGCCCACTTGACAGAGCTGCCATCTCTTACCCGGGCTGTGTGGCAGCCTCTGATTGGCTTCTCTGCCACCTGCCCTGTCCCCTTCACTCACTCTTACTTGTGAACTAGGTCACGTCCTGTCATACCCCCACCCTTCCTGGGCAGAGTCTGAGACTTTAAAGTGGCCCCCAAGGTCAGACACGGTGTGCCCTGCTTTACTTCCTACTCCATCTCTCTCTAGGCCTGGCACTCACTAGCCGGGAGTCCCTGCCCCAGACCCTTGGGAATTGCTGTGGAGACACGCTGGCCCCAGACAGCCATGGCCCTTGGTTCTCTGCAAGGCTTTACCTCCTGTCTGCTGTCCTGGCTGAGCTCATCCTCACCAAGTTTGGGTGATCAAATACAGGGTCTCCCTGCTCGGGGATAAACGTGAGGCAAGGTGCCCTCTCAGCGGGCCGCTTCCACGCTCCGTTTCTGTCTTTCTGATACGGTTTAGAGGTCACTCTGCTTTCCTGTCCCTCTCCCGCACTGGAACCTCGATCGAGACAGGCTTTGTTTGGGAAGGGGATAAAGCCCAGGGCCAGAATAGAGCCTGGCCCCACTGCAGGTGTTCTGGGCGTGAGGGGCGGCGGGGTGTTGGGGAAGGTGTGTCCCTGCAGGCCAGCCCTGGAGACCAGCACTGATCTAGAGACCACCAGCCTTCCAGGGCACTAGGTGCCCTGGGGCGAGGGTCTCCCCAGAGTCTCTCTATCTTGCCCTTGGCAAGAGCTGTGGCTCCAGACACTCAGGGACATCCCCTGGTTGAGGGGGCAGGGGCTTTGGACCCCCTTCTGCCCTTGCCCTCCCTCGCTGACTTGGGCGCCCTTTGCCAAAGCTGCACACCTGCGCCTCCTTGGGGAGGAGGCCCTTGAGAAGGCCGGCTGCTCCAGCAGGGTGAGAGTCGGTGGAAGGAGTGGGGAACTTGTCCCTTCCCAGGCTGGGCTGCTCCTCTCTAGCCCCCACCTCAATGCACAGGGCAGTGCCTGGCCTGGGCACTGGGGAGGGGAGCACCTGAAGGTGTGGCCAGGGGGAGCTGCTACCCTCAGGGCAGGCAGGACTGGGAGGCAGCACCCTGCTAAGGTTCTGAGCCAGACTTGGGGTCTGAGAGCCCTGGGTGGGGCCCTGCACACCCCACACATCAGCAGCCCCCTGAGGCCTCCGTTTCCTGCTCAGAAGACCGGGGCCATCACAGCACCGTACCGATGGGTGACTCAGTTCCAGGACGCCACAGTTGGCACTGCTGTCCCAGTGACATTAGAAATCGGGCTGGTGCTGCTCTGCAGCAGGTTTGAGTGATCAGATACAGGGTCTCCCTGCTCGGGGATAGGGAATGTTTCTGAGCTTAAATGCGAGGCAGGGTGCCCTCTCAGAGGGTCACTTCCATGTCCCCCACGAGTCTCCGCCCGGCCAGTGCCGGCTTCCTGTGTGGTGTGGCCTCACCTTCAGGTCAAACTGACTTTGCAGCTCCTCCAGGCCCATCCGGTGGTACAGGGCGATGACGTCGTGCCTCTCCTCCTGGGGGACCGTGGCCTGTGCCGGGGAGAGCGGTCACTCAGGTGGGTGGCCAGGAAGCTCCCTCGAGCTCCCAGCTCACTCCCTGCCTGCTACTGGCCCACCCCGGACCCCCTCACCTTGGCCAGCCACGCCATCTGGGGCTCCCAGCCCACTCCCTGCCCGCTCCTGCCCACCCCGGCCTCCTTACCTTGGCCAGCTGCGTCTCCAGCTCCAGTACCTGTGCCATGTCCTCCTGCACCAGGTGGCTGTCCCTGGGCAGGTTTACGTCCTCCCGCAGCATCGTAGCCACTGACACCATGAACTGCAGGTAGGCTTCCCGCACCTGGGCCAAAGGACGCCGGGTGGGGCTGGATGACCTTGGCCACCATGACCCCCAGAGAGCTCTCTGTGGGGGTGGGGTGGGCGTAGGACACGGGGCAGCCCCTGACGTGCGTCCACCCACCTTGACCAGCAGGCTCTCGGGCACGCAGAGTGCCGAGTGGGAGCATCTCAGATGCATGACCTGTGCCCGAGCCTCTGGACAGGGGATCTACTCTGCGGGACTGCTCAGGGCTTAAACTGTGTGGCTGCCTATAAGAGTTGGCACAGGGTGGGTGCCAGGGCTGTGGGTGCTGGGGTGGTGGGTGCTGGTGTTGGGGGTGCCAGGGCTAATTTGGCCCTGCTGGGGCTGTGGGTGCCAGGGCTAATTGGGGCCTCCCTACCCAGGTGCTCCCTGGCCTGAGGGTCAGGAGTTGGATCCTGAGGAAGCTTGCTCCTCAGGGAGCTGCCTTCTTCACGCTGGGCAGGGCTTCCCCAGTGCAGGCCAATGCCCTGGGCAGGCTCAGCCCACAGCTGCCCGGTCTGAACACATGGCCATACATGGCGCTTTTGAGATGCTCCAGTCCCTCCTGCTCTGGCCTGGTTCTCTCAGCACCACTGCCCACCTTTGGCCACATGGCCCTTCCTCTGGGTTTGGTCATCCTTCAAAGTCTAGCTCATAGCCCACCTTCACCAGGAGGCCCCCGGGATTGTGTCTGGCCCTCTGGGGCATTCATGCCTCATGCCTATTCACCTCTGCCCTGGTGCCTGGATGCCTGTGCCCTCCTCACCTGCTCCCTGTCCTTCCCCACCCTTCCCTGCACCCCGGGCTAGCCCTGGGTCTGCCGGCCTCAAGGTCCCCTCGTCCACAGTGGGGGTCCTCATCGCTCTCCTCTGTTGACAGCCCCTTGAGGTGGAGCAGGCGCGGGGCCTGGCTGCCTGCGCTCAGATCTCCAGGGGCCCTCCCAGCAATCCGGTGCGGGGGAGCCTGGCTCTGTATGACGGGACGGGGGAGGTGGAGCAGGCGCGGGGCCTGGCTGCCTGCGCTCCGATCTCCAGGGGCCCTCCCAGCAATCCGGTGCGGGGGAGCCTGGCTCTGTATGACGGGACAGGGAGGGCAGTTCTGCCCCACGGGGCTGCTGCTGAGCTGAGTTTGTCCCCGGGCCTGGCCCGGGTGTTGAGGCAACGTCCCCCCAGGATGGTGGCAAGCAATGGGTTGCGTCTGCACCCCCGCCCTCAGTGCCAGGCTCAACCTCCACAGGTGCTCATAACACCAGCTTTGGGGAAGGAAAGCCAGGTGGGCTACAGGAGGGCCAGGCCACGGGGTAGGGGGCGAGGCGGTGTCTTGGGGTCGTCTGGCATTGTGGTGAGGACCCACCCACCTTCCGGTTGCTGCCACCGTTGAAGTAGTACTCTCGGGAGGGCATGCCCAAGGTGGGCTGGTCTATCTGGAAACACAGAAGGTGTGACCCTGGGCAAGGGGCCCGGAGTCCCCACAGCCTGGCTGAGGCAGGCAGCAGCCTCCTCCCCCCAGGACTGTGCCCCGTGGACACATGTTCTGCCCAGGAGCTGGTGGCAGAGCTCGTGCTGGACCCGGGAGCCCAGGCCCTGCCCTGAGTGATGGTGGGGTGCTGGGCTGGACTGGAGAGGGTGGCGGGGGTGGGGGGCAACAGTTCAGGCTGCCCTGGGCCTCGCAGCACCCGCGGCTCCCCCAGAGTGGGGCGTGTATTTGTTTCGTGTGTTTCTCTTTGGCCTCCAGCCCGTGGCCAGCAGTGGCTCCCTGAGGTCAGGCCTCCTGCCCTGGTTCCAGCTGTGCTGTTCAGGAGCCCTGCTCCTCTGACCAGAGCCGGATTCTGCTGTGGCCACCAGCTCGGCCAGGAGGCCTGACAGAAACTCCAGCAGCAGCAGCTCATCCCCGGGCCCATGGACGTGGACAGGAGCCAGGAGCCCAGGCCCCAGGAGACCCTGGAACTCCCTGACCGCCTGGCCTGTCCTCCTGCTGTGCTGCGAGAGCCCCCAGCCAGGCTCGGGGACCCTGCCTACCCCTGCCCACCGGCGCAGCTCGTACGTAGATGATGTGCCGGCTGGAGTTCTGGTCATCGTTCCAGATGAAGAGGTCGATGAGGACGCGCCTGTTGAACTGTGAGTTCATCAGTGCCAGCTGCCGCTCCAGCTCCCACTTGAGTCCTGGGGAGGCAGCGCCCTGCTCTGGAGACTGGCGGGCCCTGGGGTCCCAGCCCGGCCCCTTGTCAGTGAATCTGGCCTCCGGAGCTAGGAACTAGGGGGCCATAGGGTGAGGAGCTCACCCGTGCGCCTTAGGGACTGGGGAATACGGGAGACACTTTCCCTAACAGCCCAGGAGCCACAGGCGGGCCCCCAGGTGACGGGAGGGGGTTGGACGCAGCAGGAGGTCGTCAGGGCTGCCAGCCACGTGGGGGTCACTCCTGCCCCCAGGGGAATGAAGCGCATGCTTAGAGTGGGGAACCCTGGGGCCGGGGCCTGGCCGGGGCCTGGCTGGGGCCTGAGCGTCAAGTGCTCCTAGGGGCTGAGGAGGGGCGTCCCTCTGCAGGGCTGAATGGGACTGGCTATGAGGCACCAACTCCCCAGCATGGAGCCTAAACCACCTCCCAGGACCCCGAGGTTGCCCTGGCTGGGTTGGGCCTCTTGGGGCTCCTGAGAGCAGGCAGCTGGGGGTGGGGGTGGGGTCCCCTCCTGGAAAGTCTCCGGCCGAAGGAGTCCTGGCCCTGGTCCTGTTCCGTTTGTCTGTGAGGCTGCCACCAGGCCCGGCCTTACCTACAGTCTCGTTCCACTTGTCCATGGCCACCGGCCAGCCTCCCACCACCTCCAAGATGTCCAGCAGGGGCTGAGAGCCTCGCTTCTCTATCACGCCTGAGGAGGGAGGCAGTGGTCACTCTCCCAGCCTCCCTGTGGCTCACGTGCCACGACACAGAGCTGTGGGGGCACTGTTGGCCGGTGTCACAGGTCCCCACACCCCCTGCAGTGCTCGGCGAGAGGCGGCCTCCCAGCCTGGGCCTTTACACCTGCACCCTCCCCTCACAGAGCAGCATCCTGGCAGCTCTGCAGCGCTGGAGGCGGAGGCTGAGGCTGGATACGGGCGTGAAAGGAGACCTGGGGGCTGAGAAAAGCGCACGAGCCCCGAGGGACAAAGAGGATGGTGGGAGGGAGCCCCTGGGACCTGGGAGCCGGCCAGCAAGCGAGGAGCCTGGGAGAGGAGTGGAGGCTCTGGGCGCAGGCCAAGCCTCGGCGACGACTCAGGCAGCGGCGGTGGGTGCCGGGTGGGCTGGGAGGGGGCGTGGGGGAGGTAGGGGAGCCCTGGGGCCTGTGTGTGTCCTGTGTCTCAGCTCAGCATGGTGGGGCCCCGACCAGCAGCTCAGGAGCCCTGCAGTGGAAGATTAAGTAAAGGTGGGGACACGGAGAGAGTCACTGTGGGAATCAGTGAAGACCACCCAGAGGGCAAAGCGAAGGCTTCGGGGCTGGCACAGCATGGCAGGCGCACCGTCAGGTCAAAGGCCTGCAAGGAGCGACAGGGCTTCCTAGTGGAAGAGGGGAGGCCCAGGTGGGCCGAGTGGGGGCCGCTGGCCTGGGGACGCTGTGGTGGGCTCACTAGAGGCTGGACTCCTCCAGGCTTGGCTTGGGTCCTACGCTGGAAGCAGGGACAGACATTCCAGGGGAGGCTGCCCGGGACGAGGCAGGCCCCGGCTGTTTGGGGCTGGATGCCGTGGGGGTGCCGTCTGACCTCCTGGGCTTCCCACTGAGGATGAAGGGATGGGTTCCGGGCTGGGCTGCAGGTCCAGAGTCGCGTTCCGGTTTTCCACACGGTCTGGCCCCTGCCCTTTGTATATTCAGCCTCTCAGGCCAAAAATTAAGTAAAGGTGAGGACACAGGAAGTTGTCTGCAGCTGCGGGTATTGCCCAGACTGGGGGCCCGGGCTTCAGTTTCCGTGGGGAGGAGACAAGCCCAGTGCACCCAAGCAGGGGTCTCATGGAGACGCCCCCTAAAGCCAGGGTCCCAGCGAGTTCCACTGTCAGGCGGAGGCTCCACGAGACCCCCTGGGGAGAACAGCCAGCCCTGAACCCTGGCGCTCAGTGGAGGAGCTGTCTCTACACAGCCACAACCACAGGCTGGGCCTGCAGACCCCCAAGTGGAGGAGTTAAACGGTGCTGGACCGGGGTGCTCCAAGCACGTGAATTCCTTTAATGGGAACTGAAACATGGATAATCTGCCCCACACCACACACATACATCCACATACATCCACATGCATCCGCATACATCCACATACATCCACATCCACACACATGACACATGTATACAATATACACACAACACATATACACACATACACATATACACATCCACATCCACATACATCTACATGCACACACATGCACATATGACACATACATAGAAAACACACGTAACACATATACACACATACACATATACACACATACACATATACACATCCACATCCACATACATCTACATGCACACACATGCACATATGACATATACATACAAAACACACATAACACATATACACACATACACATATACACACATACACATATACACACATCCACATACATCCACATGCACAACACATATGACATACATATACAATACACACACAACACATATACACATACACATATGCACACATACACATATATACATATACATACACACATATACACATGTACACACAGCACGTATGTATACAATACACACACACATAACACACACATACATGCACACACAACATACACATATGCACACACAACACACCCGTAGAATATATACATATACACATACATGCATATGCACATAATACACTTATACACTATACACAATACACATGTGATGTGCACATAGCACACGTGCACACATAATGCACACACATATGTACACACTGCATGCATACATATACACATATACATAACAATATACATACATACGTACACAACACATGTACCCACATGTACACATGCACAAATCACATATACACATATACACAGATACATGCATGTGCACATATACATATATACACATACACACACACACATAAACACACACAATGTGCATGCATACATATACACACAACACACATATCGCACATAAATGTATAATATGCATGTATAATACACATGTGTATACACATACTCATGTATACAATGTATAATACACATGTATACAATACATGTATACAATGTATAATACACATGTATACAATGTATATACACATACTCATATACATATAACACACACACACACAGTCTTCCTGCAGCCTGGAACGTGTGGTCTGTGCTGGGGTTGGGGTGTGAGTGAGGCCGCAGGGCAGCTGGCATTACTGTGAGCCTGGACCCCGTGACTGGGAGCAGGACACAGCACACAGACCCTCTGGCATGAGTCCCGAAGGCACCCACTCCTGCCCTAGGGGCAGCCATGGAGTCCTGGGGCTGTGCTAGGCTCTGGCAGGGGCAGCCCGCCCCCGTCCCCCGCCTCGGCCCCTTCCTGGCGGCCCCCACTCACTCTGATTCATGCAGGAGCGGTACAGCGTCCTGGCCTTCTCCACAGCCGGCCGGTCCTTGGCAGTCGAATTCTCCAGCACCGCTGTGGGCACAGGAAAAGGTTGGACAGAGGCCTGACGAGGCTGTGGGGGCCAGGTCACAGGTCCCCACACCCCCTGCAGCGCTCGGCAAGAGGCGGCCCTCCAGCTGCTGGGTCTTTATTCCCTCTCCTCCGTGCCCACCGGACCAAGAAGGAAGCAGAAACAGGGGCGAGACACAGCCAGGACCAACTCCTGGCCCAGTGCCGTCCTGTTCGGTGTCACCCCGCTGCGCCCCTGGCCATGCTCTGCCACCTTTGAGGATGACCTCCAGCTCATCGCGGAGGACGTCAAAGATGCTGTATCTTGAGTTGGTCTCGGGGATCACGTGACGCCGCAGCCAGCCTCCGCACGCAAACTGGTAGAAGTCGTTACATGGTTCCGTGGTCGGGTCCATGTTCTGGAGGATCCTGGCGGCTGCTCATCCCCATGGCGTGGAGCAGGGAGAGGGGAGACAGAGAGAGTTGTGGACAGTCCAGAAGCCTGCCTTCCGGTCCAAGAGGCAGCCTGGTCCCTCGGTAAGGGGCTGCTGTCCATCCAGTTGCAGCTGTGTGCCCTGGGAGAGTTAACCACCCTCTCTGAGCTGCAGAGAGGGAATCCCCCAACCTGGATTCAGTGCTAGGGTTTTCACTTATTTATTTTTGGAGACAGGGTCTCACTCTGTGGCCCAGGCTGGAGTGCAGTGGCGTGATCACAGCTCACTGCAGCCTTGAACTTCTGGGCTTAAACGATCCTCCCACCTCAGCCTCCCGAGTAGCTGGGATCACAGATGTGTGCCACCTCGCCTGAATGCTTTTCAAAACACATTTATTTGTAGAGACAGGGTCTCTCTGTGTTGCCCAGGCTGGTCTGGAACTCCTGGGCTCAGGTGGCCCACCTCGGCCTCCAGAGTTGCTGGGAATTCAGGCATGAGTTGGCTGGGTTTTCACTTATTACGACCTTGAGCCCCAACCCTCTGAAACTCATTTCCTTGTCTGTGAATCTGGGAACACCAGCACTCTGACTTGCAGGCCGAGGCGATGGCTGAGACGGTGCCGGCTCACAGGAGGTGCTCAGCTGGTGGACCTGCCCTGTGAGCTGGGCCCAGGTCCTGGCTGTCGACCAGGGCCTTTCTGTTCCGACTCTGCCCCCTGCCCCCTTACACGTCAGAGTGTTTGGTCCCCAGAGGGAGGGGCAACTCTCACCACCTTGGGGGTTTATATTCTCCCAGAGGGGCTGGCTTTGCCCCAGCAACTCCGAATGTGCAGTGGACAGGGGAGCCCCAGGCTTTCCACTGAAAGCTTTCAACTGGAGTAGCTGGGCTGCACCCCTGACCCAAGACCGTCCCTCAAATTCTTTTTTTTTTGAGATGGAGTCTTGCTCTGTCGCCCAGGCTGGAGTGCAGTGGCACGATCTCGGCTCACTGCAAGCTCCACCTCCTGGGTTCACGCCATTCTCCTGCCTCAGCCTCCCGAGTAGCTGGGACTACAGGTGCCTGCCACTACGCCCTGCTAATTTTTTTGTATTTTTAGTAAAGACAGTGTTTCACTGTGTCAGCCAGGATGGTCTCGATCTCCTGACCTTGTGATCCGCCCACCTCCCTAAGTGCTGGGATTACAGGTGAGAACCACCGTGCCCGGCCCCCTCAAATTCTGTCTGAGTTGGTCTTGGCCACTCCACCTCTGGGACTGGGGACCTCACAGAAGGCGCAACCACAGGCCCCCCAGCCCCCAACACGGGCAGAAGAGTTACAGTCCAGAGCTTCTCCACTATTGGTGCTTTCACAGCATGTTAACAGTTTTTGTCATCTGCAAATAGTGGTACCTGACTCCCAATTTTAAGACAAATTCCTGGTTGAAAATTTGAGGTAAGAAAGTGGGGCTATTCATTGAACCTTTCTTTCTATAAATGTGGACAAAAGCCGCTGGGTTCTTGGGGCGGGATGGCTGTTGCTGCACGGCCTGGCTGCTGGAGGCTGGGGACTGGGGGCCCAGCGGGTGCCAGATGCCAGCAGAACACCAGCTCCCCCCACTCCACAGTGAGTCTGGCCCACCCAGCTCTAAGGGCCCTTTCTTGGAGTTGCTCCCTGGGCCTTGGGCGGGGCCTGTGTCAGTGTCAGCCGGAAGCCCCCAGCCCTTGGGCAGGCTGTGGACGGCAAGGGGGCCAGGCTTACCTGCCATCACGCAGCCAGGGGTGGTGCAGACCTCGCTCACCTCTTGGGTCTCTGGGATCCCTGCGGACAAGGAGCAGCCTGAGCACGGGGAGCCACAGAGAGGGTGGGGCAGGATTGGAGTGGGTGTGGGCGGGGCAAGGTCTGGTGGGTGTGGCTTGGGGCTGGGCATAGACTGGGGTGGGCGGGGCAAGGTGAGGGTGGGTGGAGCATGGGCTGAAGCCAGTAGGGCAAGGCCAGGGTAACCAGGGCATAGGCTTGGGGTGGGTGGTTGGGGTGTGGCCCTCCACCCTATCTTCCACCCCCATGGGTTGTCCAGCCTGGCTGCCCAAGTCCTCCCCAGGTGGCTCAGGCTTGAGGCCTTCAGTGATAGTGAGCTTCGTTTGGCCTTGACCCCTGCAGGGACCTGGGAGCCCCTTTACACTCTCTGCCTCCATGGACCCCCACAGCCGCTCCAGGCCCCAAGGGCTGAAGCCAGCCATTTTGCCCTCCTGCCTTCTGCCCAGCCCACTCTCACCTGCTGCCAGGGCCAGCTCCTCCAGGCAGCCTGCCTTGCTGCCCCTCTCTGCATGCCCTGCCCCAACCTGCCCCACCCCTGTGCCAGCCGGTGAAATTGAATGTGCCGAGGTCATGCAGGAGCTGGGGCGGAGCATCCACAGTGCCCAGCAAGCCTCCTGCGTTCAGCAGGTGCACCCGGCTGTCCTCTCCCCAAGGCCCTCGTTCAGCATGTGAGGGTTGGGCAGAACCCAGCCTCTGCCCCTCCACGGAGTCCCCCCACCTTGGGAGGCCTGCGCCCACCTGCCTGGGGCTGTTTTGGAAGGGAAGGCAAAGGCTACCTCGGGATTTTCGTTTTACAAAGGTCCTCTCCTCCTGTAAGAAGCCCAGCCGGCTAGCAAGGGATGACAGCTGCTTCCCTGGGAAGAAACACAGCGCTCAGCTGCAGCCTCCTGCCTGCATCTCCTGGGGTGCTGGGGGCCTCCCTGGGGCAGCACGGCATTTTCCCACAGTGCTGGGTGCTGTAGCCCTACCTCTGTAGTGAGGGTTGGTCACCAGGGCAGCGAGACAGGAGATCCACAGAGTTCACTGCAGGGCCTGCTTCTCTGTCTCCCGCTGGGCTTGAATGGGGGGCAGTGTGTCCTGCCTCGCTAGCCCCACCCTTTAATTCTCCCTCCACGCATCCCAAGATCCCGGATGTACCAGGGCCTAGAGGGGTCCTGAGATGGGCCCTTTCTCTTCCCGACAGCCGCCTCTGCCTCAGGATCTTCCTGACCCTGGCCAGGCCCACACAAGGTGGCACGCTCCTGGAGTCCCACAGGGCAGGCTCATTTAGAGGGACAGGGCCCTTTCAGAGAGGGTGACTTCCTGCTGACTAATGACCCTTGTCCCCCGCCCCTCCACCCTCACTGTCCACTGAAAGTGCCAAGCCACCCTCCCTCCATCCCTCCACTGACTGCTGTGAGGGGCCTGCCTGGTCAGCATCAGGGGCTCCTGGGATGGCTGCCAACTGCCTGGAGAGAGGTGTGGGAGAGGAGGGTGGGGTGGACAGAAGAGGGGACCGCAGGTCCAGAGAGATGACAAGCCAGGCCTGGCTACCCTCAGAACTGGCTTGGGGCCGAATTTCCCCAGCAGTGAGGCACACAGAGGACTGAGTAGAAGGAAGGAACAGGGCTCATTCAGGTCAGGGCTGTTGTTAGGCCTGGAACCTGGCCTAGCCCTGGGCAGAGACTGCAGAGAGGGTGTTAGAAGCCACAAAAAAAATATCAGGTCCTTGGGGGTCTGGCCATTCAAAAAGCCATTAACCCAACATTGGATGATGACTGAGCCAGGTCAGATGCTGGGCACTGGAGTTCACATGTGAGCCCAACAGGGTCCAGGCCTCAAGGAGCCCATTGCCCAGTGGAAACAGGGAGAAAGTGCTGTATACTGCACACATCAAGGCAAAGTGCTGAAGGGCAAGGCTGAGCTTCAGAGCAAAGGAACCCCCCAGGCCAGCAAAGGAAAGGAGGCGGTGAGTGTGAGCGGAAGACATGGCTGCTCTGTGGGGTTTGCCAATTGCAGTAACCCAGAGCCTATGGACCACAGATTGGACTGTGGACTCCAGAGGACCGCACCTCAGCAAAAGGGTGGATTCGAAGGACATCACCTCCAACCAAAGTGGTGACAAGGAGGGCAAGGGCTTTCTGCTTCTGATTAGGATGCAGCAAGTTGAAATTGACTGTGGCCCCCACCCTAGCCAGGAGAACAAGCTGGAGAAGCTACAGCATGGGCACTTTTGGAAACCCACGAGAGCTGAGTACATGGAGAAACCAGCATGAGTCAAATTCCAGGGAGGAATGAGGCCTTCCCAGGAGAGGAGAGGAGAGGCCTGTGGCTGCTCTGCCTCTGGAGTCAAAGCATGAGGAGGGGCAGACACGCCAGGCAAGGCAGGCAAGCATCATTCAAGCATGGTGGCACATGTCAGTAGTTCCAGCTACTTGGGAGGCTGAGGTGGGAGGACTGCTTGAGCCTGGGAGGTTGAGGCTGCAGTGAGTTGAGATTGCATCACTGCACTCCAGCCTGGGACACAGATTGAGACTCTGCCTCAAAAACAAAAACAAACAAACAAACAAACAAAAAGGCTATGAGCTACATACTGTCTGATTCCAATTATGTGACATTCTGGAAAAACAAACCTTCAGAGAGGAGAGACGTTAAATAGTGATTGCCAGGAGTTCGGGAAAATGGGTGTTGAAAAGGTTGAACAGGTGAAGAACAAGGGACTCTTGGGGGCAAAAAGTGACAAATGGTGAACGCATTTGGCAGTGAAACTATTCTGTACAATACTGTGATTGTGAATGGTGACTATTCTGTACAATACTGCAATGGTAAATAGTGAATGCATTTGTCAAAACCTGTAGAACTTTATAGCACAAAGAGTAAACCTTATTGTATGCAAATTTAAAAAATAATTTAGACTGTCAGGGGAATCCCAGGATGAAATGCAGAATAAGACTCAAGACAAATGTGTAAAACAATCTCACTGAAACGGATAGGGGAATAAAGTGTTGACCTAAGTAACTTTAGAAATGAGTAGAGTCTATGAGATTAAAAGCAAAGGAAGCTGTACGTAAGCACTGTACTCTAGTTGATAAAGTTGTCCTTCATGGGATCCCAACTTAATTCTGAAACCACTACACATGTATATTGGAATGGCAAAAGTGGATAGCAGGTGGCTGGGCTTATTACTGTTGCAGTGAGAAGTTACAGACAAGGAAAGGAAGGAAGTTAGAATGGTTTATGTGGTGGTGGAGTAGAGCTGGAGACATCAGTGTGAACTCATTTTTAGCTTAATACAGATGCAGATGGTTGCACATATAAATATTTATAGATACGAATTTCTAGATGGGTTCAAGTATACATACATATTCCTTTGCTCTGCCAGGTGAGCTAGACTAGAAGCAACACCAACCAAGGAGTAGCAATAAGCAAAGAATAGGTCCCAGCTCTTGGTTTCTGTTTGTTTTTCAGATACCACATTATCCTAGAAGCTCTTGGCTTTTGAAACCATTATCCAATAAAATAAACCAGGGCTCCTTAGAAAAATGGTTGATTATACAACTGGGGTAGGAAACATACAAGATGAGCTTGGAGCATGCTGAAGTGTCAAAAAGTAAGAAAGTGCTCCCCCCAAAAAACTCACCCCAAATTCATGATAATGGGAATACAGCAGAGGGTCATAGAAGCAACTGACAACTCCCAATAGCCAGGGTTGGAACAATTTGAGCAATGCAATATAGTAGTGGATTATAATGCCAAGTATGAAAAAATATCCACAAATTGTTGAGTAAATAAATAAATGAGGGAGAACAGACAAATCTCTCATACAGAAGAAATCCAAATACTCTGCCTCTAAGGATGTGGAACATAACTCCCCACTCTTCAGGTGTGAGCTGCACACAGTGACTTCTTTTCAAAGACTGCACTATGAAAAAGAAGGGAAAAAAGTAACTTTCGGTGCAGAAACCAGACATTACCTCCAGCCAGGCAATTAAGGTTAACATCAAAGTGATAAGTCAAGTCATTGAAAGTGTGTACCTGTGACCTGTGGCCTTCCTCTGCAACATGTGTTACCCCAGTCTAATCATGAGAAAACCATTAGGCTAATTCCAACTGAGGGTCATTCCACTTCATCAGTAACGCTCAAGACTGTCAAGATCATAAGAAACAAAAACACAAACGAGAAAACAAAGAAAGTCTGAGAAACCATGACAGCCAAGAGTAGCTTGAGAAGATGTGGTGTTCTAGGTATGACCCTGGGACAGTAAGAAGACATGAGGAGAAACAGGGAAATCTGAATTGAATATGAACTTTAGTTAATAGTAATATTATCACTGTTGGTTCATTATTTGTGGCAAATGTATTGTGTGCTAGTGAAAGATGTTCATAATAGGGGAGACTAAGGGTGGGGTATATAGGAATTTCTGTACTATTTTGCAATGCTTCTGTAAATCTAAAATTGTTCTAAATGTTTGAAATATTACTGAAGGAAACCTGAACAGAAGATCTCAGACCTGTAGGACAATGTTAAATGGCTTAACATATATGTAACTGGAGACCCAGAGAACAATCTTTGAAGAGATACTGACCAAGAAATATTTAAGGTTGGCAAAAGATATAAATCTACCCCAAGAAGGGTAGTGTATCCCAAACTGTGCAAATACAAAGAAAATCATACCCAGAGGCATCGTAGTCAAACTGTGGAGGACTAAAGATAAAGAGAAATTCAGAATTACTAATTTCAAGACACATTCAGGCAGTCAGTGGGGCTGGGCATGGTGGCTCATGCTTGAATCCCAGCACTTTGGGAGGCTGAGGTAGGTGGATTGCTTGAGTCCAGGAGTTTGAGACCAGCCTGGGCAACATGGAGAAACTTCACCTCTATAAAAAAATTACAAAACAAAAATTAGCTGAGCACGATGGTGGACACCTATGGTTCCAGCTATTTGGGAGGCTGAGGTGGGAAGATCACTTGAGTCTGGGAGGGGGGATGTTCCAGTAAACTGTGACTATGCCACTGAACTCCAGCGTGGGCAACACAGCGAGACCCTAACTCAAAAAAAAAAAAAAAGCAGTTGGGGAAAAAAAAGACACATTATATTCAGGGGAACAACCGTAAGAATGATGGTGACTTCTCATCAGAAAGAATGAAGGCCAGAAGACGATGGAATGAGCTCTTTAAGTGCTTGAAAAAAACAATAATATACTATCAGCTTAGAATTCTATATCCAGCAAAAATAAATTTCAAAAGTGAAAGTGAAATAAAGACATTTTAGACCAAAGCCAAGAGCATTTGTCTCTACCGGATGTGCACTGTAACAAATGCTGGAAGGTCTTCACTCAGAAGGGATGCGAAACCAGTGGGAAGACCAGACTGATGGGCAGGAATGAGGAGCCTGAGGGAGGGTAAAGGGAGCAAAGTGTGATGGGAGACCTGGACACAAACAGTGCCTCTGAGTCATTTGCTTCCCATCTAGTCAGATGCATCCAGAACAAATTAGGACAACTGAAGAGGCGAGTTTGTGCCTCCTTCATGCCTGCATCCTGCCTCTACTGCCCCCGCTGCATTCCCAACATAGGATTTCCCATAGCCTTGTTGCTGGGGGAAATCTACCCCAGGGAAATTCACCAGATGATGCAGATCAAGGGCTGCCTGAGGATGGAGTGGGCTCCTGAGCAACACTTTCAAAACTGAGTTAGGCCAGGCACGGTGGCTCATGCCTGTAATCCCAGCACTTTGGGAGGCCGAGGCGGGTGGATCACGAGGTCAGGAGATTGAGACCATCCTGGCTAACATGGTGAAACCCCGTCTCTACTAAAAATACAAAAAAATAAAATTAAAATAAAAAATAAATAAAAAAATTAGCTGGGCGTGGTGGCAAGTGCCTGTAGCCCCAGCTGCTTGGGAGGCTGAGGCAGGAGAATGGCATTAACCCGGGAGGCGGAGCTTGCAGTGACCTGAGATTGCACCACTGCACTCCAGCCTGGGTGACAGAGTGAGACTCCATCTCAAAAACAAAACAAGACAAAACAAAAAACACAAACAAACAAAAAAAAACTGAGTTAGATGAGCTAGGCATGTTTTTACCATGTCATCCCTTAACTTACAGTGTCTCATTTAATCATCACAAGGTGGGCAGATTACTTGAGGCCAGGAGTTTGAGACCGACCTGGCCATCATGGCAAAACCCTGTCTCTACTAAAAATTCAAAAATTAGCTGGGCATGGCGGTGCATGCCTGTAATCACAGCTACTTGGGAGGCTGAGGTGGGAGAATCGCTTGAACGTGGTGGGTGCAGGTTGCAGTGAGCTGAGCGACACAGCAAGACTCTATCTCAAAAAAAAAAAAAAAGAAGCTTGTAAGGTTCCCCATCTCTACTTCATCTCTACTTTTCTTGGAAAAACTGTTGGGGAGGCAAGATCATACACCCAAGGTCACTTTCCTGGGAGGAGTGAAAGGGTTTAGACCTCCAGACCCCATACTGCCATTTGACGTCTCTGTTCTTCTAAGAGAAAAGGCAGAAACAGTGAGATCCTTTTGACACAATGGCTGAAAAGAAACAAAGTCTTACCCTAATATTAAAATATGATCACAGGAATCACAGTCAGTGAACTCCCCAAAAGGAGATTTCTCTTTTTCATAATTCCAAAGAGGGGCAGCTTTCCTGAATACTCAGTTGACACAGGATCTTCTCTTTGTTCTTTTATATTTGCTTGAATAACTCCTGTAATATGCCAATCATTTTAACAAAGGCTTTCTACCTTTTAAACACTATTTTTGACATGTCCTCTGTGAGTTTTGTTTTCCTAAAGCTTTCCAAATTCCTTGATTTGAATAAGACCTCTGCCACAGTTTGGATAGGGTGTATTTTTCCCTACCAAGTCTCCTATTGAAATGTGGTCCCCAATGTTGGGGGTGGGACCTGGTGGGAGGTGTTTGGGTTATGGACCTGATTCTTCATGAATGGCTTGGTGCCACTGAGTGGCTTGAAAAGAGCCTAGCACCTCCTCTCTCTCTCTCTCTTTCTCTCTTTCTCTTGCCATATGACCTGCACACACAGGCTCCCCTCCACCTTCCAACATGAATGGAACAGCCTGAAGCAG